CCTCAACCATAATGGGTTTGGGTGTCAGTTGTGTGGGGTGCCATTGAGAAGATTCTTTGCAGGGTTTTAGCAAATCGCAGTGGAAAATGGGATGAGTCCTTTTGAACGTGGGAGGCATCTGCAACTAGACAGAAACAGGGTTGATCACCTTTTCGATCACAAATGGCCCAAAAAATTTTGGCCCTAGTTTTTTCGAAGGTTGTAAGGATTTTAAATGCCTGGTAGACAAAAGGACTTTGTCACCAACTTTCCAGTCCTTTTCCAGAGTTCTTTTGCAGTCTGCAAATTTCTTGTACTTTGCTCTCGCCTCCTCCAGTGCTGCAGTAATATTAGGCCACACTTGAGTCATTTGTTGGATCCACTCATCAGCTGAACTGACCTGAATGGTCTCCTGAGGTAGCTCTGGGATTGGCACAAAGTCTTGCCCCGTAGCTATTTTAAAAGGAGTAAGCCCAGTACTTTGATGCATTGCGTTACTGTGAGCGACCTCTGCAAAGGGCAAGAGATCAGCCCAATTGTCTTGTTAGTAGTTGATAAACTTCTCAAATACTGTTCTAACACAGAGTTCAATCGTTCCAAAGTCCCGTCTGTCTGGGGGTGGTGACTCGAACTCAGTGCCTGGGATGCACCAATCAGCTTTAGGAATGCTCTCCAAAACTTTGCAGTGAACTGGACCCCGCGATCGCTGATCACTCTTTCTGGGGCCCCATGAGCTCAGTAGACATGCTGTATAAACAACTTAGCCAGTTTAGTGGCTGATGGAATGGAGGGGCAGGCCACAAAATGAGCCTGCTTGGAGAATAGGTCGGTGACTACCAAGATAACTGTCTTTTTGTTACTTTCAGGCAAGTCCACAATAAAGTCCATGGCAATTTGCTTCCAAGGTCTGTCTGGGGTTGCCACCGGCTGCAGAAGCTCCATCGGCTTTCCTTCCCTCTTTTTTGCCATGGCACACATGGGGCAGGTAGCAACATAGTCCCCCACATCTTTCCTCATTGTTGGCCACCAAAACTGGTGCCTCAGTAAATGCAGAGTTTTCACAAATCCAAAATGCCTAGCTGTTTTGCTGTCATGGCCTCTTTGTAGGACCCACTGACGTGCTTCAGCAGGTATGTGCAGTTTGTCTTGCCACCACCATGCCCCTTGCTTATTCACCAAAAAGCTTTTATTCTTTTTAAACCAGTCATCCTCTGATATTTGGCTGTTCAGTTTCCCCAACAATTCCCCCTCTGGTAGTTCTCCAGCCTTCCTACTCTGCACTCTGGTAACGACCCTCAAGCCCAGTTGGATGCATGGAATGACAGGCATGATCACTTCCTCCCATTTGCTGTTGTGTTGGGGCAATCTGGACAGAGCATCTTCCAGAAAGTTCTTTCCCCAGGAATGTACTTTAGGGAGAAGTTAAACTGGTGGAAATACTGAGCCCACCTCATTTGCTTTGGGGACAATTTCCTTGGGGCAGTCAAGTCTTCTACGTTTTTGTGATCAGCCCAGATTTCGAATGGGTGGGGCAATCCCTCCAACAGGTGCCTCCAGCAAACTAATGCCCAGCATACTGCAAACACCTCTTTCTCCCACACCAGCTAGCGCCTCTCCATCTCTGAGAACTTCCGCGAAATGTAGGCACACGGATATAGCTCCCCTGATTCCACTTTCTGCAACAGGACAGCCCCCACTGCCATATCGGAAGCATCTGGCTGAATGACAAATGGCTTATCCAGGTCGGGGTGTTGGCCGTGAACAAGTGCTTTAATGCCTCAACCAGGCTAGCGGAGCCCCAGGTTTTGAGGCTTTTGCTTTATCCTTGCCCTTAGTTTTTAATAAGTCTGTGAGCGGGAGTGCCACCTGTACGGAGTTTGGAATGAACTGCTGGTAAAAATTAGCGAAGCCTAGGAAACTTTGAAGCTGCCACTGCGTCTTGGGCACCGCCCAGCCAATGATGTCCCTCACCTTGGCCGGGTCCATCTCAATCCGCAGATGCAAAATCCAAAACCTAACTCCCCATGTCTTTTTAATGGCAGAACCAAAGCAAGCAAAAAGCCAGCAATTAGCGTGATTAAATATTTCCAAGAATTCTGACATCCTGCAGCACCCCACATGTGAGAGGCCTAGGGGACAATCTCTCCCCGCCAACCAACTCCAACTGGAACTGGTCTTGAAGAAAGGAAGAGAGCCACCGTAAGATGGTGCCCCCAATCCCCAACCCATAGAGCCAGCTCAGGAGGATACCATGGTCAATGGTAGTGAAAGTCACCAAGAAATCAAAGAACACAAGGATGGATGTACCACCACCATCCCAACTCTGCCACAGGTCATCAATCAAAGTGGAATATCTCTTATTTAGGCTGAGTTGTGAGAGACTACCATCACTCCCTTGTCATAGTCAGATCATTCTCTGGTTGTCCTAGAATTCTCTGGGGCTGCTCCCCACCACAGGGAGACTGAACCTATTTGATTGGTCTGCCCCAGGTGACTAATGAACTCCACTGGGTTTCAGAGGGAGCTTGGGGTTGTTCCTGAAGGTTTGGTGCATAGCCTGATTGAAGTTTTGGTTACTGCCTGGAATGAAGGCTCAGCAGGAGCCTTTGCAGCCTCTCTCTTTTTGGGGTTCCCAGAGCTCCCCTTTGTTTATAGATGAGCTGAAGGAGCTGAAACAGGAAAAGAGACACCTAGAGCACCACTGGAGAACACCATGGAGTAGACCCAACCAAGCACAAGTTACGAACATTGTTAAGGCCTGCTTTATGTCTGTGGATAGCCATGCAGCAGCCTTGTTCAAGGTAACATGGACCTTCTGGGGAGGGCTGCTCCAGAGGTTCACTTGCAGGGTCATTGTGAGGAATATGCTAGGCATCTGTTGAATAAAGTTGCTTGGAGTCACTCCAAGTTGGACTCAAGCCTTGAGGCAGGTCCCATGGAGGTGACTGAGGCCCAGTCTAGCTTTAGTTATCTGGAAGGAGTTTGAACTTGTTATTTCTAATGAAGTGGCCGGTCTGTTACCTTGGCCACAGTAAGTGATGCCTTGACCACCCTCTCACGGTGCCTGGAGGTTGTAGGGATCTGGACGGGGAACAACGAGCTTCAGTTGAACCCTGGTAAGACAGAGTGGCTGTGGGTTGATGGTTCCTCTGTATCTGGGACTTTGTCATCTTTGGTGCTGGATGGGGTAGCACTGCCCCAGACAGACCCAGTGCATTATCTGGAGGTCCTCCTGGATTCATGGCTCCTGCTCAAAGAGCAGGTGGCAGCCATGGCCAGGAGGGCCTTTGCACAACTTCGGGTTGTGCACCAGTTACGCCCTTTCCTGGATCAGAAT